GTGATAAAACTTGTAGGCCATCATCTGTTTGCCTCATGGTACAACTTGTAGGTCATCATCTGTGTGTCTCATAATAAAACTTGTAGGCCATCATCTGTGTGTCTCATGGTACAACTTGTAGGCCATCATCTGTGTGTCTCATGGTACAACTTGTAGGCCAACATCTGTGTGTCTCGTTATACAACTTGTTTGTCTCATGGTACAACTTGTAGGCCATCATCTGTGTGTCTCGTGATACAACTTGTAGGCCATCATCTGTTTGTCTCATGGTACAACTTGTAGGTCATCATCTGTGTGTCTCATGATACAACGTGTAGGCCATCATATGTGTGGCTCATGATACAACTTGTAGGCCATCATCTGTGTGTCTGTTGATACAACTTGTAGGCCATCATCTGTGTGTCTGTTGATACAACTTGTAGGCCATCATCTGTTTGCCTTATGATACAACTTGTAGGCCATCATCTTTGTGTCTCATGGTACAACTTGTAGGCCAACATCTGTGTGTCTCTTGATACAACTTGTAGGCCATCATCTGTTTGTCTCATGGTACAACTTGTAGGCCATCATCTGTGTGTCTCGTGATAAAACTTGTAGGCCATCATCTGTTTGTCTCATGGTACAACTTGTAGGTCATCATCTGTGTGTCTCATGGTACAACGTGTAGGCCATCATGTGTGTGGCTCATGATACAACTTGTAGGCCATCATCTGTGTGTCTGTTGATACAACTTGTAGGCCATCATCTGTGCGTCTTATGATACAACTTGTAGGCCATCATCTGTGTGTCTCATGGTACAACTTGTAGGCCATCATCTGTGTGGCTCATGATACAACTTGTAGGCCATCATCTGTGTGTCTGTTGATACAACTTGTAGGCCATCATCTGTGTGTCTGTTGATACAACTTGTAGGCCATCATCTGTTTGTCTTATGATACAACTTGTAGGCCATCATCTTTGTGTCTCTTGATACAACTTGTAGGCCATCATCTGTGTGTCTCATGATACAACTTGTAGGTCATCATCTGTGTGTCTCGTTATACAACTTGTAGGCCATCATCTGTGTGTCTCATGGTACACTTTGTAGGCCATCTCCTGTGTATCTCATGATACACCTTTAATATATCATCTGTGTGTATCATTGTTCAACTTGTAGGCCATCATCTGTGTGTCTCATGGTACAACTTGTAGGTCATCATCTGTGTGTCTCATGGTACAACTTGTAGGCCATCATCTGTGTGTCTCATGGTACAACTTGTAGGTCATCATCTTTTTGTCTCTTGATACAACTTGTAGGCCATCATCTGTGTGTCTCATGGTACAACTTGTAGGTCATCATCTTTGTGTCTCTTGATACAACTTGTAGGTCATCATCTGTGTGGCTCATGATACAACTTGTAGGCCATCATCTGTGTGTCTCATGGTACAACTTGTAGGTCATCATCTGTGTGTCTCATGATACAACTTATAGGCCATCATCTGTGTATCTCATGGTACACCTGTAGTATATCATCTGTGTGTCTCGTGATACAACTTGTAGGCCATCATATGTGTGTCTCATGGTACACTTTGTAGGCCATCTCATGTGTGTCTCATGATACACCTGTAATATATCATCTGTGTGTCTCATTGTTCAACTTGTAGGCCATCATCTGTGTGTCTCATGGTACAACTTGTAGGTCATCATCTGTGTGGCTCGTGATACAACTTGTAGGTCATCATCTGTGTGTCTCGTTATATAACTTGTAGGCCATCATCTGTGTGTCTCGTGATAAAACTTGTAGGCCATCATCTGTGTGTCTCATGATACAACTTGTAGGCCATCATCTGTGTGTCTCATGATACAACTTGTAGGTCATCATCTGTGTGTCTCGTTATACAACTTGTAGGCCATCATCTGTGTGTCTCAAGGTACAACTTGTAGGCCATCATCTGTGTGTCTCGTGATAAAACTTGTAGGCCATCATCTGTTTGTCTCATGGTACAACTTGAGGTCATCATCTGTGTGTCTCATGGTACAGCTTGTAGGCCATCATCTGTGTGTCTCGTGATACAACTTGTAGGCCATCATCTGTGCGTCTTATGATACAACTTGTAGGCCATCATCTGTGTGTCTCATGGTACAACTTGTAGGCCATCATCTGTGTGGCTCATGATACAACTTGTAGGCCATCATCTGTGTGTCTGTTGATACAACTTGTAGGCCATCATCTGTGTGTCTGTTGATACAACTTGTAGGCCATCATCTGTTTGTCTTATGATACAACTTGTAGGCCATCATCTTTGTGTCTCTTGATACAACTTGTAGGCCATCATCTGTGTGTCTCATGATACAACTTGTAGGTCATCATCTGTGTGTCTCGTTATACAACTTGTAGGCCATCATCTGTGTGTCTCATGGTACACTTTGTAGGCCATCTCCTGTGTATCTCATGATACACCTTTAATATATCATCTGTGTGTCTCATTGTTCAACTTGTAGGCCATCATCTGTGTGTCTCATGGTACAACTTGTAGGTCATCATCTGTGTGTCTCATGGTACAACTTGTAGGCCATCATCTGTGTGTCTCATGGTACAACTTGTAGGTCATCATCTTTTTGTCTCTTGATACAACTTGTAGGCCATCATCTGTGTGTCTCATGGTACAACTTGTAGGTCATCATCTTTGTGTCTCTTGATACAACTTGTAGGTCATCATCTGGATGTCTCATGGTACAGCTTGTAGGCCATCAACTGTGTGTCTCGTGATACAACTTGTAGGCCATCATCTGTGCGTCTTATGATACAACTTGTAGGCCATCGTCTGTGTGTCTCATGGTACAACTTGTAGGCCATCATCTGTGTGGCTCATGATACAACTTGTAGGCCATCATCTGTGTGTCTGTTGATACAACTTGTAGGCCATCATCTGTGTGTCTGTTGATACAACTTTTAGGCCATCATCTGTTTGTCTTATGATACAACTTGTAGGCCATCATCTTTGTGTCTCTTGATACAACTTGTAGGCCATCATCTGTGTGTCTCATGATACAACTTGTAGGTCATCATCTGTGTGTCTCGTTATACAACTTGTAGGCCATCATCTGTGTGTCTCATGGTACAATTTGTAGGCCATCTCCTGTGTGTCTCATGATACACCTGTAATATATCATCTGTGTGTCTCATGGTACAACCTGTAGGTCATCATCTGTGTGTCTCATGGTACAACTTGTAGGCCATCATCTGTGTGTCTCATGGTACAACTTGTAGGTCATCATCTGTGTGTCTCCTGGTACAACTTGTAGGCCATCATCTGTGTGTCTCATGGTACAGCTTGTAGGTCATCATCTGTGTGTCTCATGATACAACTTGTAGGCCATCATCTGTGTGGCTCATGATACAATTTGTAGGCCATCATCTGTGTGTCTCATGGTACAACTTGTAGGTCATCATCTGTGTGTCTCATGATACAACTTGTAGGCCATCATCTGTGTGTCTCATGGTACACCTGTAGTATATCATCTGTGTGTCTCGTGATACAATGTAGTGCATCATCTGTGTGTCTCATGGTACACCTGTATTATATCATCTGTGTGTCTCGTTATACAACTTGTAGGCCATCATCTGTGTGTCTCATGGTACACTTTGTAGGCCATCTCCTGTGTATCTCATGATACACCTGTAATATATCATCTGTGTGTCTCATTGTTCAACTTGTAGGCCATCATCTGTGTGTCTCATGGTACAACTTGTAGGTCATCATCTGTGTGTCTCATGGTACAACTTGTAGGCCATCATCTGTGTGTCTCATGGTACAACTTGTAGGTCATCATCTTTTTGTCTCTTGATACAACTTGTAGGCCATCATCTGTGTGTCTCATGGTACAACTTGTAGGTCATCATCTTTGTGTCTCTTGATACAACTTGTAGGTCATCATCTGTGTGGCTCGTGATACAACTTGTAGGTCATCATCTGTGTGTCTCGTTATATAACTTGTAGGCAATCATCTGTGTGTCTCATGATACAACTTGTAGGCCATCTCCTGTGTGTCTCATGATACACCTGTAATATATCATCTGTGTGTCTCATTGTTCAACTTGTAGGCCATCATCTGTGTGGCTCATGGTACAACTTGTAGGTCACCATCTGTGTGTCTCATGGTACAACTTGTAGGTCATCATCTGTGTGTCTCATGGTACAACTTGTAGGTCATCATCTGTGTGTCTCATGATACAACTTGTAGGCCATCATCTGTGTGTCTCATGGTACACCTGTAGTATATCATCTGTGTGTCTCGTGATACAATGTAGTGCATCATCTGTGTGTCTCATGATACACCTGAAGTATATCACCTGTGTGTCTCTGCAGACCCTCTCCCATGACCAGGTTATGTACATGGTGAAGCAGATTCATAAAATGATTTAAAAGACTGTTGAGGAAGGTGACATATGACCTGAACGTTACGTCGGATGTCTTCACCTTTCAATTGAAAAGATACCGGAATACGTGCTCGCCGAGAACACACATGTGACTAGCATCAAGTTCCGATTGACACAGGCATTGTAATACGTCCGCATTTGGTACGACTGGTTTAATGTCCCACACTGTATGCCCCATATTATTAATACGTATACATGTCATTGCTTACACCACATCCATGTATATTGATACAGTGTGATGAATGTTTAATTTTCCAACGTGCACTGGCAACCCCTATGAGTATTCCAGATCAGAGTTAGTGAGTTAATCTTTACGCCGCTTTTAGCAATATTCCAGCAACATCAGGGCAGGGGACACCAGGAATGGGCTTCACACATTGTACCCATGTGGGGAATCGAACCTGGGCCGTCGGTGTGATGAGCGAACGAAGCCAATGCACGCCTTAAGATGATATTGTCGAGCAAAATGTTTAGCAGATAGAGTCGGTTAAAAAACTAGACCACAAGACCTAATCTTGACGTACACGTTAAAAGGCTTTCCCGATGAGTGTATCGCCCCAAATAACCCTCCACCCTGTACCCGGAAGTACACTACACGCGTCGCTAGTCGTGTGTATGTGACGGGCATTGTCCTGTCAGTGGCTGCACACGCTGAAGCCGCACAGACGTTGTCTGCCCCTGTGAAGATCCCCATCCTTGTACGGTCAACATTTACCGTAAGTTGATAACATTCTGTGTTTATGTTAGGGGGATTATACATTGCGCTATGAAGGTAGATATACTAAGTACCAGGAAGTGTACAGCATCCTACTGTATAGGCATCAGTGATTTGTCTCATTCAATCTGATGCTGGTTCTATCTGTATGACTGATGTTCGAACCCTTAACCGCCGGTTGCCGACATGGTACGCGGTGTATATGATAACGCTTGGTGTACGGCTTTGTTCAAACCGTGATCTGATATCAAACGTTAAACGGTGTTAAATCATCCAAATCAACTTTTATCAGTAAACGTGTGGCTAAAGTTCTTCAATTAAGGGTAATCCCCACTTCACTTCGCCTCACACAATTACTCTTTTACCCTCATGTTTTCTGGCACAAAGCACTTTAAGCTAGGAAAATACCACTTATGCTCTATCCACGCAATGGTATAGCCTTTGTGCTTAAAGAATTTTAATCAACAAAATGACACACAAAATTTCCTATTTCCGTCAAAATCACGTCCTATATCACACCCACAACACACCTATTCATTTAAGCATTTACTTCAATATGTTATGGCGTTTATTGAAGTACAAATGAAAGGACATGCATGGTAACTGTGTAAATTCCAGCAACCAATAACATGTCACTGTATCAATTCAAGGTTTTGAACTTAATTTCACAACCAGAATCAAGAAGGCATACGATCGATCCACGCTTTTGTTCCCCAACCGACTACTGTTCGTATCCACTGATGCCGAATAATGCAGCTGAATTATCTTCCCGCTTCCCTATAGTCCTATGTTAGAATTCAAAACATTAGCGCCAGAAAACAATACATTATCTGCCTATACATATTACATTGGGCGTAACCCGGTTCGCCACGATTATGTATCTAGGATTGTCAGCACCATACCCGTGCTCGTGGGTTTCACCGAAGTTGTAAACGTCTGAAACCTGCATCACTTCGAGGTTTCCTCCCAAATAAGCTGACACGCCGCGATATAACTGGAATACTGTTAAAAGCGGCGTTAAACCCAACTCTCTCTCACACACACATTGTGCGTATAGGTAAAATAGTGATGTAAATTGTACTCACCGCTAAAAGAATCGGGAACTAGAGAAACGTATACAGCAGTATGTACGTTAAGAGTGTGTGAGTGGGATTTAACACCGCTTTTAACAGTATTCCAGTTATATCGCGGCGTGTCAGCTTAATGTGGGGGAAAAGCTCGAAGTGATGCAGGTCTTAGACGTTTATCAGTTTGATGAAACCCACGAGCACGGGTATGGTGCTGACAAACCTAGAAACATAAACGGGGCGAACCGGGATTCGAACCCACAATCATAGGTTTATGGCGAGCCCAAGGGACGCAATTCTGCACAGCGAATCGTGACGCCTTAGACGACTGGGCCACCCATGCCCATGTACGTTAAGAAGAGATGTTTCATATGTGTATTACTTAATGACAAAACTAACAATCAGTCAAGTGTGACCATAGTGTCTTTATTCTTATCACGATATGTTGCACGTAATTTCCAAACTTAACACGATAATCCTGCACGAGACAAATGGTGCATCTTGAGTCATGGATCTATGACGTCACATGTGATGCGTTCATGAGCGTCGGTTCACACAACATAACAGTATGATCATTTGTGCATAGAACCAATCCAATATCTCTTGTATTTGAGTAATTCTTCATATACAGTAAACTACGGTTATAACGAACTCAAAGGGACCACTAATGTTAGTTCGTAATAACCGTAGTTCGTAATAAGCATATATACACCATATATGCAACACATGGCCGGGACTAAAAATTAAGTTCGTTATATCGGTCAGTTCGTTATAAGCGTGTTCGTTATAAACGTAGTTTACTGTATTGACCTGCATGTATGGTATTCGCGTTTCTTTTGTCGGTGAGTGTGAATGAATCATAAAAGAGAAGTGTTTGTTTGTTGACTAACGCCAAACCCAGCAGTACTCCTGCCATACGGCGGCAGCTTGGAAACAGCCGATCTTTCTTTATTTACAAGGATGTTTTTCCTTCTCCGAGTTGACTTACCCCAGTTATCATGTTTCCGATAAGCCTAGAGCAACAAGCACCTCTGTCGTACCCGGCCGTAGATCAGGCTCAGCGTGTCAATGCCACCCTACACTTAACATGTGGGTGTATGTTGCTAATAGGCAACGCTAACTTGGTCATTATTCTCAACTAAAATAGACTGTGTTTTATTACTTTTTGTTCTCTCTTTTTTCGGAATACAATAGCTCTTAAATGTGTCTCCGTGTGTAGGTCGGTGGCAAGGGTGGCCCAGTCGTCTAAGGCGCCACGATTCGCTGTACAGAGTTGCGTCCCTTGGGCACGCCAGAAACCTATGATTGTGGGTTCGAATCCCGGTTCGCCCTGATTATGTTTCTAGGTTTGTCAGCACCATACCCGTGCTCGTGGGTTTCACCGAAGTGGTAAACATCTGAGACCTGCATCACTTCGAGCTTTCCTCCCACATTAAGCTGACAAGCCGGGATGTAAGTGGAATACTGTAAAAAAGCGGTGTTAAACCCGACTCACTCACTTTAAAGAGCCGTTAGTTGTCACTTTTTGCTCTCTCTTTTTTCGGATTACAATAGTATGTTTCCGTGTGTAGGTTAGTTTCGTTTCTTTGCTTTTATTGTTCAGTAGGTCCACAAACCAGGGTTCTTCTTTGTAAGTTCCTTTCGTTTTCGTTCGTACGTGTTGAAAAACAGCTGACACCGACAGGATTAATGACAAAAGAACAAAAAAATAATCTATTTGTTTGTGTCTCAGGATTATGTCCGCTTATGAAACAGGAAAACTTTGATGCGGGGAATCAACACGGTGGCAACAAATTGTTATGTCTACAATTAAATGGCAAAACATTACAATAAAATAATTCCCCCAAAATGTCTAATGAACGTGGCATATTTCATTTCATTCTCTATTTTACATATTACACCATGTTTTTTACTACTATGTGACTACATACCTTATATGCTGAATTTGATAAAGTAAATGAACGCAGGGTCTTAGCTTATTAAGGTTTTATACGTAATGACACGGTAAGAAGGTACTGCCTCCCATCACCGCGGTAAACTTTTTTAACAAATGACGTGCGTTTTAGGGACAAAATAGTCCAAATATGACATGTTAAAAACAATTATTGAAAATGAAAATGCATGCATATAAAATTTTGCCCATAAGTCCCATAGACTTTTCAGAAAATTATGACAAATTAACAAATAAGCCATTTGAGGAATTGTAAAGCGAAAATATGGTTACAACTTTTGAATAGTTTCATTGTGAATATTTGACAATTACCTTTTACTTTGTAGGCTTGATTGAAGGGCTTAATCAACTCTCTGGATACGAGAACGGCCCTTATTTTCAAGTTGAGCAAAGACTTCCAAACGAAGGTCAGTTGAGGAAGTGGCATCGAAAGGAACCTGATCATCAACATGTTCCTGGTAAAGTCCAGTGTCGCCTTGATGTGTGTCTTGGGACTGCTTAGCGTCGATGGTGACGTGATATGGAAACTGTGCTCAAAAGGACAATGCCTCTGTCGACCACATCCCACCCATGCTGTGTATATGAACTGTTCAGGTGGTAACTTCACACATATCCCAACGCCACCCAACAAGTCCCTTCCCCTGTATTTGACATTAGACCAAAATATCCTGACCAATGTGACCGGAGATATGTTCCATAACATACCCAAGTCCAGCTTGAGATCTCTGCTCATGTTTAATAACAGTATTTCCAATGTCTCCGCTGATGCATTCCGTGGGTTCACAAAACTATATAAAGTTGTTTTTTCGAATAACCGGATGAGTGTAAGTTCACTGACATCAGCCGTTGCCAGCCTTAAAAACTGCCCATTAACGAGTCTTACGATCAGTAGTGCAAAGGTGAGGTTTTTCCGGCCAGATTTCTTCCTACCCCTTGCACACCTTAGCAATCTCAAACTCAGTCTTGTCAATAACTGCCTGGAGGTGTACCAGTCACGGGTATTTGCACCCATGAAAGGACTCGTGTACCTCAATCTCAGAGGCAACCGCATTAGAAGGATGAACATTACAGACAATTATACCCAGAACATTCCCCGACTTCGTCTCGAGAGCAATCGATTTGACGACTTCCCCAATCTTTGTCCAAATGATAAATCGTACTTCCCTGAACTCACCCAACTAGACATCAGGTATAACCATATTCGATACCTCAACAAGAGTTACTTTGATTGTTTGGATAAACTGAAAATCTTACGTCTGGATGGGAACCTCATTTTGTGGGTACAGAAAGACCAGTTTGCTGGCCTTAAATCTCTCGAAAGGCTTAGTCTGGCTGAAGTTGGATGCACCATAGGGAAGGTGGAACCAGGAGCCTTCAGCAGTGCTACACTCAAACAAATCTTCTTTCGAAACAACCATATCGAATTTAGTCGCTCAAGCAAAAGTCCCACTCTTGCAATGTTTGATGGATGTCCATCCTTGGAATTGTTGAATGTCAATTATAATGTTTTCTCGTATTTGCGAGAGGGGGACTATGATCTTCTGTTTAGGAACCTCACAAATCTGAAGACGTTGCTCATGGGTGGATGTGGAATCAATGTGATCCCTAAAGCTATTCCTAAGCACCTGAAGAACCTGACACTGTTAGGCCTTTACCACAATGAAATCAGCGACTTGGAACCAAACTTCTTCAGCGGCATGAACGACCTTGGGGAACTTCTTCTGGGGAACAATGAGATAACGTCAGTCAAAAGATCGACATTTCCTTCCAATGTTTTTAATGGATCTGGATTTGTGGATTTATCTAAAAATCCACTTTCGTGTGGATGCGAATCTTTGTGGCTCATTGAAACCTTTCAAAGACACCCTGATCAATTCCGAGCTGAATGGCACAAAGAGGGCTATGTCTGCCATAGTCCCAAAAACTTGCTTGGCACCCAACTCCGAGATGTGCAAATATCCGAACAGACGTGTCTTTTGAGCTGGAGCGTCCTGATGATCCTCCTTGTGGGCTCCAGTGTCCTCATCACTCTCCTGGTAATCCTGTCTCTCCTCTACAACTACAGGTGGAACTTGATGTATCTGGTGTTCATGATTAGACATAAGGAACGGGAGGTGGTAGACAGACGACAATTTCTGTACGACGTCTTCGTAGCATACAGCTACGACGACCTGGCCTGGGTGAAGCAGCACCTGATGCCTGTGTTGGAAGGATCCGATGGACTCAAATTATGCATCCATAACCGAGACTTCGAAGTGGGCAAATTTATCACTGAAAACATCGTTGATAGTGTTGAGAACAGCCGGAAGGTGATCATTGTTCTGTCGAATAACTTTGCCAAAAGTGGCTGGTGCCAGTTTGAGTTGAATTTAATTCAACGGCATGTGATAGAATGTGGTCAGCGCCTCCTGGTGGTGGTGATGCTTGAAGACATAGACCCGTGTCACGTGACCAAGTCGCTGAGAGCAATGCTGCAGACGACAACCTACCTGGAATGGGGAGAAGAGAGTCATACCAGACAGGCCTTCTTTAACCGTCTGCGACTTCTGGTGAAAAGGCCATTACAATCTACATCGACCAGAAAGATGTCCGTGTGACCCAGTGCTGATAGTGATAAGCTATATCTCCTCAACAATGAATGATTAGTGTGATTGTGCAAATTATTAGATATTTTTCAGTGAAATGGGTTGTCTTACATAATAATTGTGTATAGTGTTGCGTAAGACCTGTGTACAGTGTTGCATAAGACATGTGTATATTGTTGCATAAGACATGTGTATAGTTTAACATACAGGCCCGGGGTTCGATCCCCGGCCGCGTCATACTAAAAGACGTTAAGAGATGGCACTTATTGTTACCCTGTCTGGCGCTCGGCATTAAGGGAACAAGGACTGGTCGGCTCGGGGTGTTGTGTCTGAGTAGGGTATTCATGTTAAACTGTGGCATGGCACATGTATCTCAGTAATCTAGCACTATAAATCGGCATCAGTCCGGACTAGTACAAGCAGCCACACACACACGTCGCTATATAAGTGCAATAATCTTGGACGCGACGTTACACCCAACTCACATCACCTGTACTCTGCTAAGCCCAATATTATTTGTACTTTTTATAAAAATATGTAAACAATTTCATAATAAGACTTCACTAATTCTTGTGTATGGATCAGATCTTATCCATCTATAAATTAGATGCGAAATATATTCCTAGTTATTGATACATGTTTACTATTGATATTGTTTGTACTAACTGCCACTTGGCGAGCACCTGTCGTGATACTAGTCTAGCTACATTTGCCTAGTCCAGGTTTACTCTTAAACCCTATGGGGGCACGGTTGGCCAAGTCGTCTGAGGTGCCTCAATTCGCTGTGCAGAGTTGCGCCACTTGGGAAACCAATGATCGTGGGTTCGAATCCCAGTTCGCCCCGATTATGCTTCAAGGTTTTTCAGCACCATACCCGTGCTCGCTGGTTTCACCAAAGTCACTGCATCACTTCGGGCTTTCCTCCCACATTATGCTGACACGCCATGATATAAATGTAATACTGTTACGTTGCGGCGTTAAACCCAACTCACTCACTCACTTGAACCCTAGGGTTTGGAAATGGTTTATTAACCACACACTGCATCGGAGACAAGAATGACAAAGGTCAGCAAACATTAACAATAAGATGTCAAAATGACCAGGAAAGTACTATGGTTCAATATTTTCAATATTTCACTCACTGAGAAAGGCAGGTTTCAAGAGGGCAGTATTCCTTGATCAATTTTCCGGCTATGGCGGGTGTGGGTAGGGTGTGTGTAGGGTGTGTGTAGGGTGTGTGCAGTTGCAGTCCATATGATTAAATATTCACTCGGTTTCACTGATTTAGCCTAGTGTAGACAAATAGGTGTGGTCAGTCAATAATTGATGCTAATTCTGCCTCCGTTGTGTAGTGGTTAGAGTGTCTACCCCAACAGACGAATTCCGGTGGCTCGATCTCCCTGACGCGCTATACCAAAAGACGTTAACAGCCTGTTACCCAAGTTTATGGAATGTCATATCCAGCTTCCTGTTGAGTATACAACCTAATTTGCCTTATGCTAAAAGGTTTACAGTCGTATTAATTTCATCCTATCGGGTACCCATTCAGTGAACAGAGGCATATTTCGAACAAAGTCATTTGCCTAAGGAGACATCGCATATATTCTGCCTTTCAGTGTTATGCAGGACCGAAGTTCTATAACCTCTCAGCAGTCACGTTTGTCAAACACGGTCACCCATCCGCCTACTCTCCGCGACCAACGTGTTATGACCTGCGCATTGTACACAGGTTCACGTCTCGTCACAAGGTAATAAATATTTTATCTTTGACGAGTAATTTCCCTTGTTTCGTTAATTACCAAATATGCATAAACTTTTTATATAGATTGTTGTCAATAAAATCAGAAAGAGTGTTCTATTTTATTCATGACATCAAGGGGCGGTGCGGTAGCCGAGTGGTTAAAGTGTTCGCTCGTCACGTCGAGGACCCGGGTTCGATTCCCCACATGGGTACAATGTGTAAAGCTCATGTCTGTTGTTTCCCGCCGTGAAATTGCTGGAATATTAGTAAAGGCTGCGTAAAACCCACCAAACTCACTCACTCACTCAGGACATCACACACAGCCAAGGCAACCAAGGTGGGGAAAAGACCAACTTGGTGCCGCTCCAAATCGTACCGACGTGCCGATTTAAAATCAAATCAAAATATTGTGTTTGTGCACGTAAAGTGGATATAATCTGACCAACTCGACCATTGCATTCGCGAACGACTTGACCGTGGAACGGTGGAGACACACGTTGTATTCCGTGTACATATCTCGCTGTACAAGATTTGTTTTCATGTACATTTTGTAACAACAATATAAGGACAGTGTTGCCTATGTTAAAGAATATCATCAATGAATACTAAAAGGGTTGAAGATCTAGAATAACACGTGGCCTAAATACGTCAAGATGGAATTCCCTCTCTGCACACGTCAGCATGTTGTATCAAACGTATCTCACGAAATCTCGTAGTGCCTCGCGATAGCCTATACAAAGCCGTTCGGCACTGTTCGGGGGCTACCTTGAAGTAAATTAAAAAAAACGCACGGAAAGATATCATGGAAATGATATTGATACTGAACAATCCGCAAACGTGTTGACCTTTTTTATAATCAATACTCTGTGTATACTACTCAAAAGCCCGATTCATTTGATATAGACATATGACAGAATCGGGTGGTCCTTAATTTCTTTTGAGGAGTATAAACATTTGACATATATCCGTTAGTGTAATTATAACGACATCATGAGAGCAAGAAATTATACCTTTTCCAAAGAGATCACCTTCCAGAGTATTAAAATGGTGGAAAATCTCAAGGTCGAGAGTTTATGAAATATGTCTAGTCACCCGATTGGGAAAATTGTGTAGGGCAAAACGATCTAATTGTTTGCTTATATAACCATTATATAATTGACTACTGTGATAATTTATTTTCAAAATAGGACAAGACAAAATATATTTGTCGTTAATGGTTAAAAGTGTCCGATCACCATAAAAAAATAATTCTTCTACACATACTTAAACATACGTCGTTAGCTTACGCAGATCAGTTTAATGTTATTTGATTATGAAGGGTTTACTGAAGATATGTAGACGCGGTTATATTTCAGAACATAATTACCCAACATGAAATTCTGCATTTAAAGCACGTGTCTTTCACGCAGCAGTCATTTGCCTAAAAATGATTTCGTTAACGTTTTCAGAAGCTGGCACACTCAACCCCTTATCTCCCTCTTCCTCCTCCTCCCCCCCCCCCCCCCCCCCCCCCCCCCCCCCCCCTTCCCACAGACACTTTGAGAAACACTACTACGGGCCTGTCCAGACATACAATACGGTGTGAAACATAAATCATTAAATATATGAAAACAAGAAAAAAAGTGAGCAGGGCTCAACAATACCCCCGACTTAGACTCCAACATATTTTTAACTTCAAAACATGATAAAAGTATATTTTCTCAGACAATCTACTTATCGAAATCAAACTGTGCGCTGCACCTCTCCTATTGGCACTGAAGCTGTATCCCACTAATGTTGAAGTAAAGAAAATGCCAAGTTTACAACATGAAAAACATCATATATTTTTTCAGAAAATACACATATCATAATCGCACTTTGCACTGCACCTCTTCTATTAGTGTAAAAAACTGTTCCCTAAATTTTAAAGAAACCATGAAGTAGTTTTCAAGTCAGTGGTCGCAGAAAAATTATATTGAAATCAAACTTCCTCGTAAGGACTTCCTTGGTATAACTATATCTCCTTTTAGGTCGGGGGTAAAATAAATACAACGCAAATATGCTGGACGGGAGATGGATGTGGACAAGTATGACATAACTTAAACACTCTATAACGCGGTTTAAACCCACCGACTCTTGGCGACACAAGCGATTCACTGAAGACATTTGTCCGTTTACATGAACGAGCGCATGTGCATTATCTTGCGAATGTTTATCGATGTGATAAACAAATCAAGTGAACTTGCTTTCACGATTCGATAAACGCGTTCACGCAACAAGAAAAAGTTTTAATGACCTCCCAGCTTGCATCGATGACACACCTACTTGCTCGACACACTATTGTCCTGCGTTCGTAATACATTTCAATAGGGGTCCCCGACATTGCAACAAATAAATTGACATTAAAACTGACGATCATTAGGGCGTATACCGATCAGTGTTTTCCAAAAATGTCAAAAAATACCAAAACACCAAGCACTTGATGATGCAAATGTTGTACATTCATTTGACGATATATACACTCTGATAAAAACACTATTGACCATCAAGTGTGAACATCACAGATCCCACACAGCACTGGGGTAAAATTGACGATTTCACAGATTACGCTCAGGACGACATGTGAGTTAACATCACTGAGTTAACATTACGACATGTGAGTTAAAATTACTGAGTTAACATCACTGAGTTAACATTACGACATTTGAGTTAACATTACTGAGTTAACATCACTGAGTTAACATTAATAAGTTAACATCACTGAGTTAACATTACTGAGTTAACATTACGACATCTGAGTTAACATCACTGAGTTAACATTACTGAGTTAACATTACGACATGTGAGTTAACATTACTGAGTTAACATTACTGAGTTAACATTACGACATGTGAGTTAACATCACTGAGTTAACATTACTGAGTTAACATTACGACATGTGAGTTAACATTACTGAGTTAACATTACTGTGTTAACATTGCGACATCTGAGTTAACATCACTGAGTTAACATTACGGAGTTAACATAACTGAGTTAACATTACGACATGTGAGTTAACATTACTGAGTTAACATTACGACATGTGAGTTAACATCACATAGTTAACATTACTGAGTTCACATTATGACATGTGAGTTAACATTACTGAGTTAACATTACGACATGTGAGTTAACATCACTGAGTTAACATTACTGAGTTAACATTACGACATGTGAGTTAACATCACTGAGTTAACATTACTGAGTTCACATTATGACATGTGAGTTAACATTACTTAGTTAACATTACTGAGTTAACATTACGACATGTGAGTTAACATCACTGAGTTAACATTACTGAGTTAACATTACGACATGTGCGTTAACATCACTGAGCTAACATCAGAGTTAACATTAATGAGTTAACATTACTGAGTTAACATCACTGAGTTAAAATTACTAAGTTAACATTACTGAGTTAACATTACTGAGTTAACATCACTGAGTTAACATAACTGAGTTAACATCACCGAGTTAACATCACTGAGTTAACATTACTGTCACAAGGTGAATGTCAATAAGGTGTATGGCCTCAACGTGCCAGCATACAGGCTTGAAGACGACGTCGGACA